CAGTCACTGTGGTTGCATTGAATAAAGCTATTGTCTACGAAAACTTTTCTGAAGCTTTGACAATTGACAACAAAAACTCAATGGCAGCAAAAAGAAAAATCTGACGAGTAATAGAAGAAGCTGAAATAAAGACTTGATGCAACAAACAAGCATAGTAATAGATCTCAATAAATGAATAAAGTATTGGAATCACGTGAATTTACTACCCCAGGATCACCATCAAAAATTTACGGACACATGACCGTAGTGGGTGAAATTATAGAAGCAAAATTTAATATTAATTTATGTTAAACTCAAATTTTACATATACAAGTAATCACGTGTCCGTAAATTTTTGCTGGGAAAAAAAAATACTCTCCCTAAATGCATTATTCCCTAAATGCACGCTCTCACACTTACGGTCCCAAGGGTGTGCATTAGGGGAGAGTTCACTGTACAAAAGGTTTGTGAATACAAAAGCTTTTTTCAAACATTTTTATTTTGTATTTACAATATAAACGCCAATACATCATAATCATGCTTTTTATACTAATTTGAACACTATCGCTATGGTTATAACACTGCAGTCTAATGAAAGTGGTATTCATTTACACAAGAATTCACAGACTTTTTGGCACCTCCTGTACTTGATATTAAGAAAACTTAACCAATTTTTAATACAGATTTATCTCGGTCCTATGGTTTTTGGTAACGGTAATAAAAGTAAATTTCTTAATATAATTATACCATTTTATTACTTAAAAGGAAATCTCAAGTAAAAATTTTATGAAACTATTTTTAAATTAAATTTTTGAATTTAAGCGGAAAGAGAGCAGAATAGTGGTAAGGATGAAGGGGGCTTTGCCAATGTGGCGGTGTGGCTGTGCGGCGTGAGAATATCCGAATACGCCAAGTCCTGAAAACGAGTCGGAAAGCCCAAACCCATCAAAAAAATATGAATGAAATTTATGTTACCCAGAATACAAATGATGCGACAAATGTTAAAAAATAGTGGTGTTTTAGCGATTTGTATTGATGAGAGAGAATTATTCAATTTAGGAAAAATGTTAGATGAGTTATTTGGAGAACATAATCGGATTGCGATAATTAATTGACAAAAAACTTATAGTCCGAAAAATCAAGCAAAACACATTTCTCAAAGCACTGAATATGTGCTTGTTTATGCTAAAAACTTGAAAAACTCTAAAACAGAACGAGAAGAAAGAAAGCCGGAAACCTTGGCGAGATACAAGAATCCCGATAATGATTCAAAGGGGATTTGGAAATCTAATGATGCTAGCGCTGGGGTTACAATTGGTTAAACCATGCAAATGGAGTTAAATATTTTGTTTTACTGCAATCACTTCGAATAAAGTAATTTATTCTTTAAAGTATATATTTCTCTATAATAATAAAGCCTATAATAATAACAGATGCTAAGCAGTCGTACCCTCCTCTAGTCATACCATCGGTTCCGCTAAAATTGATGACTATAGGGGGGGGGGGTGTGACTACATAAAAGATTATTCTACAACGTCAGCCAACCATTCTCCAAGATCGTTGATAACTTTCATATTCTCAGTTTCCCCGACGAACTCATTCGCGATGTCCACAGTGCAATTTTGTACACTTTCAGGACTATACGCTCGACCTACTTCAGCATCGTTTATCGAATTATTCAGAGATATTGAAATATAAATCATCTTGTATAATGCTTACCTTCGAGTGCATCCTCAAAAGCCCTAATAACATTATCATGTCTAGTGTGATCAGTACTTATTGTTATTGATACTATTATTCCGGAACTTGATTTAATTAATGTTTTGAGGCGGGCCCAATCAAACGACTTCTCGACTTCATAAGTAAATTCTGGAGTTTGTCCATATGTCCAGTCCCATGTCTGAATATAAAAATTGTATTAGTGACAAGGTACGTGATACTACAAATAATATTATTAAACGTGCCTTGAGCTCGTCAGAATACTTGAACACTTGTCGGCTTAAGAAATCTTCTTGTAAATGTGTAGGAACAACCTGTCGGAATTTCTGAGTAATCATGAGGTGTAAGCGTGTATATCGAATCAATCACATACTATACCTTTTTGTCGGAAGAGTATACGCCACTAAACTCCTTCAGCACAATATTACAAAACCTCTCATGTGTCATATATGGATTAATTTTATTTATGTTTATGACAGGTGAAGTAACGGACTTGACACCTTTTGTACTCAAAATCCCCTTATAGCAGATGATGGTTTATTTGAGAATTTCCACCTTTCGAGGAAAACTTCACAAACGTTAGATAGAACCCTTACCTTATGGGATACCTTGAGACATTGTTTCAACATTTCCAAGTTGGACGAAATCAACATCGTACCATGATGGTATGCTCTAGAATGTATTAACTTAAAGGCACTTCCTGAGATGTAATCCAATTAAGGTTAAGGAATTTAATAAGCAAACCCCACGTCATTTAAATTATTTTCCATACAACAAAAAATTTTAATTTGGACAATTAGCTAACAAACATTTATTTATAGTCAACCCTTGTCTACAGTCACATCCAGACTAGACATTTGGTTTTCATACAAATGGTATTTATGAAGAACAGTTGATTATGACTATAGACAGGAGTTGACTATATGCTTTCCTTTAGAATTATTAATCATCTACTGAAAGAAAATCACATCAATATATGTTAATGTAATTAGGTTTGACGTGTATCTCAAACTGAACAAGATTATACTTAATTCATCCTGCATATTAGTAATCAGGGCTCAGTCACGTTTCCTTTAGTGAAAGATCACGACTGTTTAGTCAATTACGGTATTAACAACACTGCAGATTACTAAACCCATCAAGAAGGTTTGAGAGTAAAACTGCCATAAATAACTACAGTTTTGGAATTTACCAGGGCTTTTGCAGCTTGTCAGGATCAAACCCAACTACTAATATATTCCATTTGTGTAAAAACGAGTTTCGAATCATTTACTGGCGGTCAACTAAGCGAGCTAAGTATTACTAACGCAGTAGTAATCCTCTATATTTATAAAAAGGATATTTTATATCCATTTACGACGATATCATGACGTTCTGTTACATGAGCAGGTATTCCATCTTTCTTTAATGCTGAGGTTACAATCTCTGCATTAGTCTTTCTTGCAAACATATTCCGAGGAGTAATCAAGGAATAATTAGTATTGCCAAGGTCCTGCGATGTATTACAATTAATTTGGGTGTTCAGACAATTACACCAGCCAATGACGGCGAACACCTCACATGAATCACTGTTCCGCCACCACTCTTTCGTCGTATTATGGGAATGTTGAGAGCCCTTGCGACTTTTGTGTTGCACTCTTTCCATGGGTTCTATAATCAGGCTTGAAATCAGGAAAAGTCGAAGATATGGTAAAATTAACAGTTACGGATTATCCTAAAACCTGGTTTCGCCCAATTACAATGCATGGCTCATTTCTCCACAGGTAAAGTATGATACTATCCGGATCCGAGTGACGGAAAAGCCTAACATCGAAAGAAACGAATCAGGTTATAGACCATAAAATGTCGTCCAATATCATTACGATTTTACAGCGCTTACCATTCTTCTATAGCAAGATTTGTCCACGGATCAGTTATTTGCGAAATATATGTTTGGAATTTGGTCTAATGTAAAGCCATTCAAATAGACCAATATTCAGCAACGACGGTTCGGACAGTACAAATAACCAGACATTCTAAGTACATTTTGTATGTTTGTCTCGCTATACGTGTATCGAGAATATGATAGCTGTCTTTTTTGAGTAAACTGTCCGAATACAGTCGAGCATTTAACAGAAAGTAAAGGATATTGTCGCATTTTTTGATGGTGAAGACGAACGTAGAACACGATTGGCCAATCATCGAATTTTATTTATTCTTACAAATGTCAAAAAATTATTGATTAAAGACTTCTTTTTTGCTGCTTCGCTTATTCATGTCTCTTTATTTATTCAATTTCTTAAGTGCATAGCATCATATCGTTCACGTCCAGTTAATCTATGGAATTGGCAACGAAGTATCTTAGCGAGGTATCGTAATAATTTTACTAATGTCATCGCAGTAACACGGAAAACTTATGACGACACGCTGCGATATCTACGTCGGCGCATTGAGTGATGACCCACTCATTTTTGAACAATGTATCGCTCTAAGGTGTCATTTTTATTTTTTTTCTAAATAGTCTAGTAAAAGAACTGGGTTTGTTTTGTGTGAAAGAACTGTGTCTATGTGAAATTATAATGTCTATGTTTATGTGAATAAGAGTATTTTACCGCAAGTAAGGAAAATCATTAAGCAAAGCAAGGCATGTACAAGTGAAAGCCAATCATGCTGTATGTTGACTTCACACAGAAAGTCTTGTAAATTAATTATGTCCTGCTCAACAAAGTCGTGAGTAAGGATTTTTGCAAGGGAGATGTAACCTTTATTATCTTTCAAGCATAACGGCATCTTTGTCTGGATTGGAACACGCTTGTGTGTGATATACCTAATGTAGCGTCTTGATTCTGAATAATACATAGAAAAGACAAGTCGAAAGAGGGTCATCAGCAAAACTTCGTATAGACTGTTTCTATAAAAGGGATTGTCCGAGATATGTTAAATAGTACATATATTTACCTATGGTATCTATGTACACGACATACGGAAACTTCTCATCTACCAGGTCTCTAGCATATACCGACGGATTCAGCCTGCCATGCACTCGACTCAATAGCAATACGTCCGCCAATTGTTCATCATCTCTGTTAGGAATTATAATCCGTTTTATGTCACCGACATCGGAGTCCACTGGAACTTTATATTTCACAGGATCAACATGGTTCACGAATTGGAACCATAACGTTAACGTCCCTTCATTTCTCTTCCACCACGATGTTGGAGAAGCGCAAGCTATGAACGCAAGTGAGCAGAAGACTGCTAGTAAAATGGCTAATATTATAGCATATTTTGCTTCTCCGCCTGGTTTTGTGGAATGTCCGGATATGATCTCCCTGCCAATTCTCATGTTGACCGTTGATTCAGACATTCTCTTCACACAACAACAACAACAACCAATCACTGTTCAAAAGTTTGTGTACGATTGATGACGTAATATTTAACGAGTTTATGCTATAAAGAACATTGTCCAAGTCACAAAAAAATATATTTCCCTCCCTAGATCGCACACCCGATGTCTACAGGTAAGTTCCGCCATATGTACCTTCTGGATTGCACTTAGACTCGTACTTACTATGCTGCCCCAACTCTGACATAGAAGACTCCTTGCAAACTACAAAAAGGCTTGCTTCATATACCGCTCCTCCAGATGTTTATAGTGACTTGATAAATAGCGACGATGAAAGTGATCCATTTGCGCAACGTAGCACCTCACGGCGAATAATAGATCGAGAAAGTGAATATCATGCTAGACGGCTCAACCGTACGCTTTCACCGGAACGTCATGATCCCTTCGCTGCGGAGGAAGCTAACGGTGAATCGCGATCGTATGTTGAGGTTATCAAGCAAGCCGAGTTAGAGCGTGAGGAACATCGACTTCTTCAAAAACTTGAGGAAAAGAAAAAGGAGACAAAGGAACTGGCAAAAGAGCAATCAACAACACAGAAAAAGAGAAGATGGGACATGGCCACACCGGTAGATACAAAACCTGCTTCAGAATGGTCGAAAGCAGACGAAGAGGAAACAAACACATCAAAAACAAGATGGGATGAAACACCTCGGGGAAGCTCTGATGCTTCTATGGAGACTCCCCGTAAGCGTAGTAGATGGGATATTACTCCCCTAGCAACAACCAAGAAATCGCGTTGGGACGAAACTCCTGTAGTTGCTAATCAACTTGGTGCAACACCTGTCGGAAACCTGGGACTTGTTACTCCAACACCGGGGCATTTGGTTCCAATGACACCTGAAGGTAAATTCGATATAAACATATTTGTAATAACTATTGCGCAATATTAAGTTGAAATTTTTTGTCTACCAAGCTCAACGATGGGAGAAGGATCTAGATGCTCGCAATAGACCGTTATCAGATGAAGAACTAGACAATATGTTTCCGCAAACTGGCTATAAAATTCTTGAACCACCTTCGGGGTATGTTCCTATTCGCACACCGGCTCGTAAGCTGATGGCGACGCCTACTCCAATTGCTGGTGATGGCTTTGTGATGTTAGAAGAAGATCGTAATCAAACGTATGATATACCAGCTGAAATACCTGGGGTTGGTAATTTGCCATTCTTTAAACAGGAAGATATGCAGCATTTTGGTAAACTACTCGATGATAAAGATGAAAGCGAAATGTCAGTGGAAGAACTTAAAGAACGAAAAATAATGCGGTTACTTCTAAAAATTAAAAATGGAACACCACCGATGAGGAAAACTGCACTCCGACAGATAACGGACAAAGCTCGTGATTTCGGCGCCGGCCCCTTGTTTAATCAAATTCTTCCTCTGCTTATGTCGCAAAATCTCGAAGACCAAGAACGTCACTTGCTAGTGAAAGTTATAGACCGCATTCTTTACAAGCTAGATGCTCTCGTTCGCCCATACGTGCACAAAATATTGGTAGTAATTGAGCCTCTGCTTATCGACGAAGATTATTTTGCGAGATGTGGTATGTATAATTTCTGATTACATATTGTGTTTTGTTAGTACGGAATGTATAAAATATTGTTTACATTTTTTAGAGGGAAGAGAAATAATAAGCAATCTAAGTAAAGCGGCTGGACTACCGACGATGATCGCCACAATGAGACCAGGTAACTTGTTACTCATATGATGGACGTCATAAAATCTTTTCATATTTAACAATAAATGTTATCTTTCAGACATTGACCATGTTGACGAGTACGTCCGTAATACTACGGCTCGCGCATTCTCAGTGGTTGCGTCTGCACATGGAATACCCGCACTATTGCCATTTTTAAAGGCTGTGTGTAAAAGTAAAAAGTCATGGCAAGCACGACATACAGGCATCAAGATTGTCCAGCAGATAGCCATACTTATGGGATGTGCCGTTTTACCGCATTTGAAAAATTTAGTCGAAGCTATTGCGCATGGGTTAGAGGTAAATGTATACAGATGCAGTTACCCTGTCGCTGTTTTTATTCTAACACGTGTTTTCTTTTATCAATTGGGTAAACAATAAAGGATGATCAACAAAAAGTACGAACCATTACTGCTCTTGCAATTGCCGCTTTGGCAGAGGCTGCTGCCCCGTATGGTATCGAGTCGTTCGACTCAGTACTTAAGCCTTTATGGACCGGTATACGCAAACATCGTGGAAAAGGACTTGCTGCTTTTTTGAAAGCCATCGGATATATAATTCCATTGATGGATGCTGAATATGCTAATTATTATACAAAAGAGGTCATGATTATTCTCATTCGGGAATTCCAATCTCCAGATGAAGAGATGAAAAAGATTGTACTCAAGGTCGTTAAACAATGTGCTGCAACAGATGGGGTTCAACCCCAATACATAAAAGAAGAGATATTACCCGAATTTTTCAAGAATTTCTGGGTACGTCGTATGGCACTTGATCGCCGTAACTATCGACAGGTAGTAGAGACTACAGTAGAACTTGCTCAGAAGGTTGGTGTCACTGAAATAGTAGGCCGAATAGTTGAGGATCTCAAGGATGAATCTGAACCATACAGGAAAATGGTTATGGAAACTATAGAGAAGGTTATCAGTCAACTTGGAGCAGCTGATATAGATACGCGACTTGAGGAGGTCTTGATTGATGGTATTCTTTACGCCTTCCAAGAGCAAACCGTTGAAGACGTCGTCATGCTTAACGGTTTTGGAACAGTTGTTAATGCACTTGGTCTTCGCGTGAAGCCTTATCTTCAGGTATATATCAAAGTGATACATTACAGTTGATTTTTTTTAGAAACATATCGCTAGCAGAAAATTTTGTATTTGGCGCTGCATGCGAGGGTTAATATCGTTGTTATGTACGACACAGAATCAACGACGGCTTTATGACTTTACGTGAGCGTTTTCACTCGCTCACTGGCATTCTTCCCAATTAATCTGTAGAGGTGTAATGATCGTCGGCTATGGTCACAACTTTCCTGTATTAATTTCAAGGACTCAAACAGCCCAATCATCAATCAAAACATTGTATGGGTTATTGCCAAATCAGTATGAATCGAGGCTTTAATGGGTTAATGGTTGTAAGTTTTGCTCAAGCGTCATATTATACTTTTGTGAAGTACTGATTTGTTTGTGGCTGATGACGTTGAAATTTAACTGCGATGTAATGTGCTGTTGGCCGGCCGTTGATTCTGTGATATTCGTGGCTAAACGTACCTAAACAAACGGTATACCCATAATATGTATGTAACATGTAATGAATAATATGTTGATCATGTTTCTTGTCATTTGCAGCAAATTACCTCGACAATCTTATGGAGGCTTAACAACAAGTCTGCTAAGGTCCGACAACAAGCAGCTGATCTCATATCGCGTATTGCGGTTGTTATGAAGACCTGTGGCGAAGACAAACTCATGGGTCATTTGGGCGTTGTGCTTTACGAATATCTTGGCGAGGAATATCCGGAGGTTCTTGGTTCGATTTTAGGAGGATTAAAATCGATCGTTAACGTAATTGGTATGTCAAGCATGACTCCGCCTATCAAAGATCTACTTCCACGACTTACCCCGATATTGAAAAACCGGTACGTATTTGATTTGTTATATGGCATTATTAAGTATCTCTCCCAAATATAACATCGCGTCTATTTAGGCACGAAAAGGTAGAAGAACAATGTATCGATTTGGTTGGTCGTATTGCTGACCGTGGGGCAGAATTTGTAAGTGCGCGAGAATGGATGCGCATTTGTTTTGAACTGTTAGATATGCTTAAGGCACACAAGAAAGGCATCCGAAGAGCCACTGTCAATACATTTGGATATATTGCTAAGGCAATTGGACCACAAGATGTATTGGCAACTTTGCTCAACAACTTAAAGGTGCAAGAACGACAGAATCGAGTATGCACTACTGTAGCGATTGGTAAGTTGTCATATCCATGCATATGAATAACCAATTTCCGCGTCGTTAACCAACAAGTTACTGTACTATCCGTTTTACAGCAATTGTAGCAGAAACCTGTGCGCCATTTACAGTTTTACCTGCTTTAATGAATGAATACCGTGTTCCAGAACTGAATGTTCAGAATGGTGTTTTAAAGGTTTGCATATATTAGCTTACGTAATTGTAGATATTGACCCATCTGAATTGGGAACTGATGTCGCTCTAAATCGATTTGAACTTTTAGTCACTCTCATTCTTATTTGAATATATCGGTGAAATGGGCAAAGATTATATTTATGCGGTGACGCCACTATTAGAAGACGCCCTTATGGATAGAGACCTTGTACATCGGCAAACCGCTTGCACTACAGTAAAACGTATGTGAAGACTTTTTCTTAAGTGATCTGATTTACATGAACGCGGTTTAACTAACTGATGTCTTATGTAAAACAGATATGGCATTGGGCGTTGCAGGCTTAGGTTGTGAGGATGCGCTTCTTCATCTGTTAAATTACGTTTGGCCCAACATCTTTGAGACCTCTCCTCATGTTATCAATGCAGTAATGGAGGCGATCGAAGGCTTGCGCGTAGCTCTTGGACCTGCAACGGTGTTACAATATGTTTTACAGGTAAATGATAATTAGTATCGTTTGTTAGCCACCCGCTTGTGCATCTGCTAACTTGTCTGTTTTGTAGGGTTTGTTCCATCCAGCACGCAAAGTGCGCGAGATTTATTGGAAGATCTATAACAATCTATATATTGGATCTCAAGATGCTTTGATTCCTTATTATCCAAGAATAGAAGACGATGAGCGAAATAACTATGAGAGATACGAATTAGCTATGTGGTTATAAACTGTAGAATACCTTTGCTTGTTTTGACCGATTCTTTGCCAATACACAATTTTTCATTACTTGTAATAAATCGGGGTGTCCCCAGAACATGATTTTCTAGCTATATACCATTAAAAGTAATTATTATTTGGGATAGACATCCTTTTTCGTGTAGTGCAATGATAGTCAAAATCATGCTATAATAGGAAATTTGGGTTGATATCGTAAAACATGCGTTTCTGACCATGAGTTGACCTCACTCTTATTCCATCACAATGCCTAGTATATCTGTTCTTTCTCTCCAGCATATTAGATTCCATGTTCTCATCCTAATTACATTCATTTTACGTTTCTTCGGCCCGATATTTCATCCGATATCGGTTTTTGCGTGGTTGTGGTTCATTCTCAACGTCTTTTATACGCGTTCTCTTGACAGACAACGGGTGATATGGATCGTACTGCTTCTTATAGCATATAGTGCTGCGTCGACTCTAGCGCAGTTGGGTACGATGAATTTCGGAGACGGAAGAATACGACCTAGTGGTGGGATAATGGTGTGTGGATTTTGTCTGGTGGGAGCTGTTCTACTGGGCTTATCACTGGCCATGGATAGGATGTCGCAGTCGCGATTTACCTGGGCGAAGCATGTTGTATTTGCATTTACCTGGACGGGTAAGAGAAATGGGAGAACAGAGTATGAAGGAAGCCTGCAACGATTAGGATGGGCGAGCGAATAATTTGATATATCTTGGTTCTATTATAGGCCTGTGGACTCTGTGGCAAGAATTCAGTCCGATAGGTGACTTTGGCAGCCATGTGTGAGTATCAGACACAGTTATTATCACGCTCGACAATAAGATTTTATCCATCGCACGGTTGTGTTTTTGCCTTAATGGGAATGTACGTTCTGAACGGTCTTGGAAGCGGGCTTTTCCACATGCAGATTAGTGAAATAATAGTTGAATTTTCAAATATATATCGCATGACCTATTTTAACTCTACAGTTCTTATTTCAATTCAGATACTCTCAATTCAACCAACCGGAGCTCCTCCAATTTGCATCCATCGCCGGCATAAGCGGCATTGATTTCATGCTGTCATGGGGTGGTGCGATCGGTGCATATGTTTTATACACGTTCATCGACCACCAAAGACGTAATTCTTTCCTCTCACGCATTTACTCTCCCGTGGTCGTTTACTTGGTAGTATTATCTCTTATTTATACGTATGGGTCAATGCGACTTGCAGTTGCTGAGACACCATTTTATCAACGTAGTATGCGAACTTATATTCCTAAATCATTGACAAGGGTTGGTTGCGTGTTGGGCAAAGTTTTTAATGGAACTACTGATGAAACCAATGCGTACTTGGTGGATGAGACGCGTAAGTTAGCGGAGAGTGGCAGTCAAATAGTAATATGGAGCGAAGGCGCTGCTGCGGTGTTTGATGAAGAAGAAAAACAGGCTTTGCTCAATGCAGTTCGTGACTTGTCCGTTGCCCACAACACCTACATCGCATTTTCATACATAGATCATGCAATGCAGCATAACAAAGTGACACTGGTATCTTCAGAAGGAGAAGTTGTAATTGACTATATTAAGGCACATCCAGTTGTCGGAGTAGAAAAAGTTAGATCTGGGCCAGATGAGTTGAAAACTGTAGATACCAAATTTGGGGTTGTTGGAGTTGCTGTATGTTTTGATTATAATTTCCCCCGGTTGATGAGGCAGGCTAGCAAAAAGAAGGTTGATCTTATGTTGCAACCAAGCAGCACTTGGGTGAGTATAGGAATTTCCATTTTAATAGATGTATGAATTATACTTACTCTTTCATGTTCATGTTGCTTTTTACGTCGTCGTATCTAGGGTAAGTGAAAAGATTCCGTAACGTAACATACTATATCAGTTCGTTTAAATATATGCAATTTAAATATTAACAGGCCCAGTTGGACCAGTACATGCACACATGAACTCTATCAGAGCTATTGAGAATGGTTTTATTTCGTTTCGCTGCAGTTCGGACGGTGTTAGTGGAGTCTGGAGTTCGTACGGGCAGATCATACACGCAGTACCGACTTCGTTCACTCCAGCTGTCATGTTCGATATACCACTGAGGAAAAGAGTCATGACTGTGTACGGAGTGGTCGGGGAAACCTGGGGGTATTTATGCGTCTTGATTACTATTGTGTTGCTCGCATGCTTGATTGCTACTGAATATGGTTCGCACAAAATGAAATATTGGGTGAATCGTCTTTTATAAATAATGAATACATGATATCGAAATTTATGTCCAAATAAAGTAATTTATATTCTGTTTTATTGAGAATACGACTTTGATCTATATAGTATATATACATCATCTATACCTCTCTATTATATCTGGTAATCAGAATTATTTCCCCACCAAAAGTATCCATCGGTTTTCTTTGTCAATTAGCTTCACAATAGTAGTCGGGTTTGTGAATATTTTTAAACGCCTTATGGTTAGTTAGGATATCAGTCCCTTCGATCTAAACGCCTTTGCTGTATTTCGAATTTAGGAGATTACATGCCGCGAAAAGAGTTTATCGGGTTTGCAAGATCTATATATTATTGATTTTGCGAGTCATCGGTTTTTCACGCGCTTACTGAATACAGTCGTCCCCCATACAGTCACCGTCTATTTCGCTTTTTGTTATTCGTATGAACTCACTGTTCTCTAGTCACGATTGCTATCACCGCTTTTCGGGAAACGAGCAATTATAAACGACATATGTGTAAGTTTCCCCCATATAGTCACCACCAAATAAATCAATAACACTGAATTAGCTCAATGAGTAAAATTTAAAATGGTGTTATTTCCAAAATAGTGCAACGACAAATATTTCAACAATAGTATCGAACAAAGGAAGTTCTGTAAAGTATATTATGTTGTCTGTTCATGAGTAGTAAGTAATAGTATACAAATCAATAACAACTATAGTTAGCAATAACGGGATGGTACTAAATTCAACTAAGCCAATTTAGAGATTATCAAAATAAACATCTTTCCAGAGAGGAAATCTGTACAAACGATCTGCACGTTACACAAAATTTTCAAGCCGCTTATTGGTTAATTGAGAAAATTTTACTGGGACGATTGCATTAATGCCAACCGGTATCCGACTGTATAAAGAGATTCAGCCATAAGTTGGTATCAATGGTATGATTTAGACATGTAGCCCAGGCATATTAAGATACCCGGAGGGTGGCCCAAGGGCATGCATGGGACATGGAAGCAAAATTATAGCTGTAACGATACCAGAAATGTAGATCTCATAACATTATGATACAATATGAGCTTGCACATAATAAGGTTTATCCATTCTTGAATAAACCTCGCCTCGCTAACCGAAGGTAAATACCGTAAATTGCCATGAATAAGGGCCACCTTCATCATATGAAAGGGCTCTTATTCATTTGGATGTTTGGTTGCGCCCTAAAAACAATGTAAAATGATCTACGGACTCGTCACGTAACAACTGTCCACATTATCTCTGTTTATTACATAATCACGAACCACTATTTCAAACACGTCTTTCTTAATATAGTTCGCATTATTTGTTGTCATAGTTCATACTATTTGTTGTCGTTTATGATTATAACTCGTCTTATTATTATGGTAATTACTCGCACGCGGTTACTTCGCGATGTGATATATTATAGTAAATTTCTTTAAGCCTGTGGGCTATTTAATGATTCTCAATGGTAAGAAGACCATTTAGTATGGAAGGAAGGTGGATGAACCAGCTATAGTTTTACCAGAGGGATGTTTGTGAAGTTGAATTATAAGAAATCGGCGATACTCAATAAAGTAATATATGACGCCAATTGTTGACGTGATAAAGGGGGTAGCTATTTCATAATATTACGGCCCTTATTTACGGCAGCCTTTTTTTTATATGAGGGGGCCTTATTCACGATAGGCCCTTATTCATGGCAGTTTACGGTAATTAAAGTAAACGCCCGTTTTTGACTATTTTTTATTTTTATTTTTTGTCGAACCTCATTATACCAAACTCCGTTATACCGAAAAACTAAGTATACCGAAGGTAAGTACAGAAACGTCTATAGCAAATTAAACCCCCCGTTATACCGAATTTGGGAATTTTTTGCCTTATGTTCCCGACCTCTTCGTTATAATGGGTCCGACTGTATAAACGTTAAACAAAAGAATCGCTCTAAACCAATGCTTGTAATACATCTTTTGCTTTTTCTTGTTACGCTCATTTTTTTTGTTGTCTTTCTTATCATACAAGCATTTATCAACATATGGTGAAATTGCACTAGTACAAGTGAAACTCGATATAAGAAGCTCTTGATATAAAAAACACTAATTAAAATTTGATATAAGAAAATTGAGCTGAAAAACAGTCTATATATATAAGAAAACTCTCGGTATAAGAAGGATTCTAAAATTTTTTACTATGGGTCCCGATTACTTTCTTATATCAGAGCCACATGTAATATTATTAGTGTTAGAAAAATACAGTCAATTATTTAGTAGATACGAATAAAAATTTCTTATGTTTGGACAAGAAATCCGGTAATTTATGGTAGGAGAGTGTATAAGCTAGCATAACGGGAAGATTCTCAATTAGGCTAGTCGAATTTAATTAGAAAGTTACGCTCAAGCCGCTCATTGGTTAATTGAGAAAATTTTGCTGAGGTTGCTGGGGTAGTTGTCGACCCAGGTGGTGACTAGTCACAATATAAGTAAATAAAATACCAAGTGATTATATTGTTACAGACAATATTAAGAATGAAAATACTGCAACTTTTTATTCTCTGTATAAGCAGAAAAATGTATGTGTGCTTTTTTTGGTCATTGTCTTGCTGAATACGCCGTTCATTTTGATCATCAGAAAATAGAGTCCGTAACCAATAATCATTGGCATGGCTTGAGGTAGCTCTTTTGATATCTTACTGATATGAAATGTCAGTGCGGGAAATGTATTTTTATTACGCAATTGCATAAATTAGATTTTACATGACGGTTTGCACCATTGCACTAAACATATAATAGTTGTTCACCCCAGAAGTAATCATTGTGCTATAATAAAGCATGTCACGTAAAATAAGTCCAGAATTTACCTAGTTATTATGCAGGGTGTTTAGAAAAAATTGGCCTCTGCTTTATTAATACAGTCACTCTCGATAAGATGAAGCCGTCGGGCTGGACGTTCATTATAACGAAAAATCTCGTTATAACGAAGGTCGTATTGTGTCACGTAAAACATCATTATATCAAGCGAAAATTTCCTTATTATCTATCAGGTTGAGCTTTCTTTTTTAAACACAAATCTCTTTTTTGAACACCTAACCCGCTTTATTTCTAATTATACTTTTATTGTTCATCTGTTTTTTTATTGTTGCGAACGAGTTAAAGAGAGTAAGAATTTATGATAAAAGCAGGTACAATTTAACATGATGTTCTGTTCGATAAAATGGTTACCAATTATAGTGATAATTTGCACACTTCGTTATATCGAGCTCGTTTTACTAAGGCTGATTTTATATAAATCGCACAAAAACATCATTATAACGTTATATCGCGAGATTATAAGTATCTTCATTTTATCGAGCCCGAATTTATTATAACTAATTTGGTTCCGGGGAAAAGCATCATTTAGGCCACTTCATCTTATCGGGGGATCAGTGACTGTAATTAATTAATTCTCCATTATTGTCTGGCGACGATCACGCATTGATGAAATAAGGTTGGTCAAAAATTCATTAGGAATATTGCCGCAGCTCAGAAATATTACTTGGCAATAGGATTAAGGGCTGGACTATTAGAAGACCAGTGCATAACCTCAGGGAAGTTTTCTTTTAAAAACTTCTTTCAAGCAGTCTCCAAATTTTCCTTTGGCACAAAACCCACCCCAGCAAAAACTTTTGGTGATTGTGGCCATGCAACTCAGTTTGCCTTTTGGTCAGCTGTTAGCATTGGTGCCATTTGGAAGGTCACTTTTATAGCCAAGCTCTCTTAAACGTTACGACATCCATTACCTCGTCTATGCATAACATTACCATACAGTCAACTCTCTTTATACCGGCGAAGTCAAGTGATTATTTGTATATATTACTAATAATGCAGCCATAACTCAGCCAACCTCTTAATTATTACCATGCCACGCAAAAGAACTTCTGTCAGCCTTCTTTACTCTAATGCAGAAATCGCTGAATTGTTTGGTTGCGGTACTAGTACCATTGGTGATGTTATCCGTGAAAGCAGAAAGTGGCTTGCAATAAATGATAATTATGTTGAATCGTCAGATAGCCCTAACACTAACGAAGAAGTAGAGATACTGAAGAGCATTTCATACAGTCTGCCGTTCAGACAGTACGACGATTACTGCGTGATATAGACAAAGAAAAGATAAATCATTTGAAACAAACTCAATTAAGTTGGTCTGCAACATCAGATTGAAAATAATAACAATTTATATCACATAACTAGAGTAGTTTATATCGCATAATTATGTGGTTACACTATTTCCTATCCGTGTAACAGTTTTATACACCTTATAACGGCCAGAAACTGCTAAAACACTTCATGCCGGTATAGAGAGAGTTGACTGTATTATACTTATTGTTGGAAGGGGAATGCCAGTAATTTTGGAGTACATAACTCCATTATCCAAAAAATGCATAAGTGTTTGGCTTGAGAATTAAGCTTGTTTTTCAGTCATCTTTAATGGACAAAGAATAAAGTTTAAGAGTTCAAATTGAAACCAAATGCAAGTCTTATGGTTTGTTTTTGTTTTAAGTTTTCCGTGTCCAGACCAATTTTTTTCTTAACACACTGTTTAATATGATTTTGTAGAGACAAATCGTTAGCACGGATTACAAAGAAACGTGAAAATTCGTTATGTATCGCAGTACAAAATGTTCTTGCCCGTAACGCTAATATTACAACCAATAAGCTACGTTGTTGATGTAATAATAACGAAATAAAAATGTGCTTATTTCAAACAGTACTTTTGAGTGACACTTCTTATTCCACGTGCTTTGTTTCATAATTTAGGAACCTCTCGTTTATTTGTCTGAAGACTTCTTCAACATTAGTTAAATCTAGCACATTATTTAGATAATTGCTAGTGGACCAAATTCAAAATGTTTGTTTTCTTGGGTTTTCTAAAAAAATAAAACGCAAACGCGGAATAAGCAAAAGAAGCAGTCCGGACGGATATTTACGTATAGTATATGTCGAAGAACGTTCACAAAAAACCTTCACTTAAACACGATTCACAAAGCAACTGTTATATCAGGGACTGTATAGTTATCCTATTCACCACTAAACCGGGAATCAACTCTCTGGCAGCTCTTTCAGTAACGGAAAACCCGACTATACTCTGCATCAGTAGGTTTTATCGTGTACATATAGGAATAATTATACTTTTGACTTTAATGACGTTTAGTGAAGAGTATCTAATGAATTTTTACATTCAAAAGAGAGAGTGAGAAGCTGGATAGATTCATTTCGATCCACTCCGAAGTGGAGTTACGCCCACACAGCAACTGCCACCAGACGATATTAGACAATGTGATTAATTAAAACAAGTATATATTCAGCTTTTTTAACGTAAAGTTTTGTCACAATATGCTACTATAATCGATTTATACCGAGTTTTCAAATTATGTTTCGGTTTTTTCAGACGGTTTGAAACATAACCAATCTATATTTAGTGTTAAAGTTTAAATCTAGCTGATAGATGCACAATTTGTGTCGATCTCATAATTATAATTGCATTATACCCTTATTAGTATTAGTAAGATAGTGGTCCATTTTAGATAAGTCCATACGCTTTCTGATTTTACAATACATTAGACGAATAATTCAAGAAGTAGCACAAAAGGAAGAACATGTAAGAAACTAGACAATGTTGAATGCACTCTCGGGTTAGTAAAGTGGTTCAGAGACGGACAGACATTCGAAGCTTTCTAAAATAATTATAGTTCCTTAGCTAAAACGTCATTCTTATACTTGTATCTAGTCAATAGTCACGGGAGAGTATGCAACATTTCTTAATATTAGTCCTCACGTTGATGCTTGACAAAAACATCGAGACCAAAACTATTAATAAATGTGTTCCAACAGTGAATTGATCCTGCTACAATTTTGACAATAAAATCAAGACAACATCAGCTAGAGCACTGTTCTTTATTAAGAATTTAATTGTTAAATATAAACTACAAGCTAGTTATGGAGAGCGTAAAACACAGATTTTGGAATGGCACAAAAATTGATATACACTACCAGTGGAAATGAGCCAGGCCCTGTTATAACAGGTACATTAGAGGAGGTAAATTTTATTTCTGCATTCAACAATTATATCAGCGAGATAATCCTAATTTAAATTATCCATCATGGGTTACAAATAATTATAGTTAGTAGCGAAGAATGGGTAATTATTTACCTAATTATTTTTTCGGTTATCATTAAATAATATCTGACATGGTTTTATAGAAACACTGGTAGAAGGAAAAATCCCAGTAAAAGCATTAATCGATACAACATCTAATCTAATACTATTAGCAGGCACTTGTTCGATAAGCTTGAAGAAGATTATGGAATACGTCTGCTTGTGATCCTGTTGAGAATCTCCATGGAGATGTAATAAGTGAAATAAAATGCTTAGATTTGCAATTTCAGTATATACAGTGTGTTACAAAAGTTTTGCAAAAAAAATTGACATAACAAAAATACATGTAGCTTATCCAATTTTGTATCAAATTGCGTTATGTAAAAAACATCTGTACTATAAATTGACATGTTTGTATACTATATTATTTATGTATTTTTAACTATTAAACATGTCTCCGATATCCAAAACATACCACAGCCGTCTAGCCAAATTATTTCTTCAGGAAGATGTCCCTGAAGTTATTGACTGGCCGAGTAACAGTCCTGACCCCAACCCCATCGAAAACTCTGGGTTATTGTTAAGAATAAGGTAAAAAGAGAATGCCTCAAAACTGTAGTAAATTAGAGCGTTTTATGGTTGAGGAATGGAATGCCATTCCCGATGATGTCTTAAGAAATTTATAAAGTCAATGCAAAAGAGATGTGAAGTAATTATTGAAAAAAATGGGTGAACGCGCCTCATTTTAATTAATATCAATAAAAACTACATCCATTTAGCTTTAGAACGAGGTACAGTATCTTACATATTACTAAAAGCAACGGTTGTGTCATAGTGATAAATATTATTTTTGCAAAAACTTTTGTAACACACTGTATATAATAATAAAGGAAAGTGGCGAAGCTTAGATTGTACTGAATTAATAGACTTTCAAATTCGCAAAAATCCATCGTTTGATTGGGTATTGGGACAAGATTGGTTATGGATGTGCGAAGCAAAAATTAGCTTTGGATTTTCTCTGGAAAATTGTAAGCGCTATGCTAAAATTGAGATAGATGGTATGAGTATCCCATTAATCGAAGATAGCAATAAAGCCAGCTCCACTAAAAATAACTTATCTAAATCAACGGAATCTAAACCTGGTCTAGCTCAAGAGGAGCTTATGAATATAATCAACAAAATTCTCTCAGGTGCCCAAGATATTAAACATCAAAAGAGTCATCACGGAATATTTCACAACATACCTCCTGCACACCCACCATCCAGAAGATTAAATGACGATGTTTCCAAAAATAAGAGCAAGAAAAATAAGGTCAAATATTCCACGGATACTTCTTTCAATTCAGATACTTCGGACTCAAAAGTTATATACGGTGTGTGACAAAAAAACTTAACTATAAAAAATCCGTTATAACTCTATCAGAACTGCACCAATTTTAATTATTGATACTTTATTTGAAAGCCAGAAAGATATAACACAAATTTTATTAGAGTTAAAATTAATTCGCTCAACATTGCTTTCAATAACAAGCTCACAACGGCGTCGCATTGAATTTACTAAATTGTTTAAAACGGATTCCGGAATAGAATTCCATTCCTTTGTCATAAACTTTTTAATTCATTCAAATTTTTAATAATAGCCCATAAGTTTTCTATAGGATTAAGGTCAAGACTACAGGAAGGTATAAATTTCGGCACATTATCAGCAAAAAATTCTTTAGCTACCTTATTAGTATGCTTGGGATCATTATCTAACACTTCTTCCCAAGCATCTTATTAATCTCACTGAGGTAATATTCAATAATACTAACATAAAACTTGCCATCCATTATGCGTTGGAAGCGAAATAAACTTGTCTTCCCTTTTATGAAAAACCACCCCCAGGCAGAAATTTTCCTTCGGTCATTTGGCATACGTGTGTAGGCGTAGCCCAGTGTGTCAGGTTTTACGAAAGAGCGACCCCTTGCTCTTTCGTGAAACATGACACACTGGGCTACGCCACCACACCGACGAATTGGACGTTTGCCTTTACCAGTGAATAAGGTGGGGTGGTTTTCCAATTGTCGTTTGGCCCATTCGATACGATTTCGCTTATGAACCTCCGTGAGCATTGACGTGATTAAAGCTAAGGCTTTTTTATAGCCTAACGACTGCCGATGGTACGATAAGACATGCCGATATCATCATAATTGAGTTTATTATCACGGCGTATAGTTTGATCGATAGATTTCGCTATATTAGCCGTTATTTTTCCGGACGACTATTACCGCCCTTATGCTTCAAAGTACCAGTTTTTTTAAAATTTTCAACATTATACAGTCAAAGCTCGGAAAACCGATAGCAGTGTTTTCGTCTTTTTCTATCGGTTTTCCGAAATACCGGTTTTGCGAATAAATTTCGAAAAACCGATATAGAGACGTAGTATCGGTTTTGAGAGATTATTACATTTGATTGGTGGAAGCAATTACATATAGTAAATTAAGAACTGTGAATATCGCGCGAAATTTCTGATTTTAATGAACGCAGAACTGATAATAACAAAGCCACTGGGCGGATCATTGACAAATGGCATTAGGTTGTCCACACCTGCTAAAGCTGTTTTTAATGAAATTATAAGCTGTGGTTCATATTCCTTGTCACTTTTTTCTTTGCCTTCTTCGTCTTCTTCGGCGTTCTGTACGGGTTGCAATAATATCATTATCGGTAAAACGTTCAATAGGTAATTACTCATCAATACAAATATACTCAGTAGCCAACAACGGCTCAGCTGAGTAATACAATGCTGTATGTCTTCAATCGTGTTATCGTACTGATATTAACACTATGGGGAACAAGAGGCGAATCTTACCAGTTTTCCAACAATTGTGAATAGTTGTTTCAGTAATAGTAACGCATTCCAAGCTTTGTCACAATAACATAAATATTGATATGTGTCCTGCTAATTAATATTAGATATTGTGTAGCAGATAAAGCTTTGCTATTGGTTATATATCAGTTATCGAGCACCTGCTATTGTGTAACAGATAAAGCTTTGCTATTGGTTACATCGAGCTTAAATTTTTATATGAATGTGACAAAATAATATCGGTTATCGGAATTGCGCGATGTTATATGAAATATCGGCTTTGCCGAGCGAATTTTGTTATATGTGTTTTGGGAGTTGGAAAAATTATCGGTTTTAGCATTTATCGGTTTTTCGAGTATCGGTTTTCCGAGCTTTGACTGTATTTAGCTGTTAATATATTCGTTCGCATGGCTTTCTCATCAATTTGAGTGAACGCAGCATTCACTGTTATTCCAATACGTATCGATACGACGGTCAATTACAATTTATGAAATTTAGTAAATTACGTGGGAAGTTCAAAAAGCTTTGACGAACTTTTTGTTTGCACAATATATATTAAGTGTTTGCTTTAATTTTTTACATTGTCCTAGCATTCTATGCTAACTCTGAAAAAAAGTGGAACACTCTTTAATTGCATACAAACAGAGATGATTTCACAGCCTAGAGATGTGTTAAATTATCCCAAATTTTCTGATTTCTGGAAATAGGAAAAGATGCCACGGAATTAGATCGTGACTATAAAGAGCGCGAGGACTCGTTCTTCCAAAAAATGCTTAGTGATAACTTCTTGTCATGTGTTTCTGACAAACGTAAATTTTGTTACGAAATATGGAACATGCTGCAACAAAACCAGACAAAGTAAAAGTGAACATTCTGTTTTGTGAGGCTGATTATGATGTGGCTGTAAATTGACCAGTGCAACTGATGACATTTTGAAAGTAATAATGGTGCTCATTCATAACTTATGAACTTGTTAATTTTAATTTTCACTTTATCATACCAGAAGGTGAGGAATATAAACCATAACAGGATTAATATAGTACTATCCCTATATAAAAAAATAAAATATATGAAACTAATTTACATCAAATCCACTATGGAACCCAAGAATTACAGCACTATTAGAAGTATTTTAAAGAAAGCTCAAGGTAAAAAAATTGCACCCTATGTTTTTAAAATTAATGATACCCAAACTCTCCAAGCATATCTAGATCAAGAAAAAATCACCTATGAAATTTATCAAGAAGAACGAAAAATAATA